AGAGAGAGAGAGAGAGAGAGAGAGAGAGAGAGAGAGGCATTCTTAAATTTTGCTACACAAACACAGTCAGCGTCTCGTTTCCCTCTGCGTGGCCCAAAAGGAGATCTGTTTCTAAATTTCACTCTCTTAGAATGTGCAAAGAATGGGGAAAAAGAGGTAGGGACAGAAGGATAGAGGAGAAAGGAGGGCGGCGGAGGGGAGGGGGAGCCTAGGTTTTACTGCGGGCAATTGTAAGTGACCGTCCGTGCGTCTGTCTGCCAGGGTTCCATTGTGTCCGAAGCTGGGCTGCCTTCCCTAACCAATTCAGCAGCGTCCTGCATATCGACCAGACACCCAGGAGGCTCCCTCGCACCCGGGGAGGGTGCTTCTCCTTCTAAACCCAGTGTCTCTCTCCTCCGCAGATAACCCGGCTGCCAACTGGCTTCACGCACGCTCCACGCGGAAGAAGCGCTGCCCTTATACCAAACACCAGACGCTGGAACTGGAGAAAGAGTTTCTGTTCAACATGTACCTCACCAGGGACCGCAGGTACGAGGTGGCCCGACTGCTGAACCTCACCGAGAGGCAGGTCAAGATCTGGTTCCAGAACCGCAGAATGAAAATGAAGAAAATCAACAAGGACAGAGCAAAAGACGAATGATGCCATTTGGGTTATTTAGAAAAGAGATGAGCTAGAGAAAAAGAGACAGGACTGCTTGTCCCCTTGTCCCTGTTCTCCCCCAACCCCAGCCTCCACCACCCTGCACAAAGCGGCTCTAAAACCCCAGGCCTCATTTCCCCCCTGGCAAACCCTGCTCAGGCTGGCTCCTAGGCCTGCAGCTTTGATGGAGGAGGTATTGTAAGCTTTCCATTTTCTATAAGACAAAGGGGGGGGGTGTGCATTAGCGCTGATGGCTGTGTGTGCTAGCTTGTATATATTTAAAAAATCTACCTGTTCCTGACTTAAAACAAAAGGAAAAACTACCTTTTTATAATGCACAACTGTTGACGGCGGGCTGTATAGTTTTTAGTCTGTGTAGTTAATTTAATTTGCTCTTTGTGCGGCAGATCGCTCTGCCTAGATACTTGAACACTGTGTTTTATTGTGGTAATTATGTTTTGTGACTCAAACTTCTGTGCTGGGTGATGCACCCGTTGTGATTGTGGAAGCTAGAATTCAATTTGAACTCAGGTTGTTTATGAGGGGGAAAAAACAATTGCATAGAGTATAGCTCTGTAGTGGAATACGTCTTCTGTATAACTAGGCTGTTAACCTATGATTGTAAACTAGCTGTAAGGATTTCCCAGTGAAATAAAAATTTTAAAATGGGGGGAGGTTCTTCAGGATGCATAGATTGATGGTTTCTCTACTTAAGAAATGCAGGCATTTTAGTCTCTACATATGCTTTATAGTCTTATCTTGTTCATGTACATATAATCTATATATTAAAGAAAAAGTTCATAATCAGACAAGCTTGAATATTGTTTTTGCACCAGAGGAACAGTGAGGAAATTCGGAGCTATACATATGTGCAGAAGGTTACTACCTATGGTTTATGCTTAATTTTAATTGGGGGAAAATGCTTATTGTAATGGAATTAATTTTATTGATAATAAATTATACACCACAAAACCGCCATTGGGCTACTGAACATTTGTATCCTTGAATAATCTGGATTTTCCATCGGGCTGAACATACACTGTATATTTTGCAATAGTTACCTCAAGGCCTACTGACCAAATTATTGTGTTGAGATATTTAACTTTTTGCCAAATAAAATATATTGATTCTTTTCTATTTTTTTTTTTTTTTTTTTTTGCGGGTCTGCTCTTTGCACCTTCTCCGCCGTCGGGAAACCTGGGCAGAGTCTCTGATTGGAGGTCAGACTAGGGGTGTCGGGGAGGGAGATCCCTAATTTTGCGTCTAGCCTGCGTTGGAAGCTGAGACCTGCCTAAGCTTTCCCAACGTAGCCAACTGCCAGGCGGCACAAACAGCGGAGGAAGACTGGAAAAACACGAGGCCTGGGCTCACGACCTTGGGTCTATTCACTGGACCGCAGGGAACCTCGGACGAGATGGGCTGGGGCCTGGGTATCTCTGACCAGTACTGGTCAGTACCGGTGGAAAGACCACTTGTTCATCCTGGTGCCTCGACAAATTTCCCAAACTCGGGTCCCCGGCCGCCTGCGGCCTTTCCTAGCAAGGTGGGAGGAGTGAGAAGCGCAGGACCCACAGGGCCCGCCTCCAGAGGAGGCTCTGAGGAGGGAATCGCAAACCTCACCCGCCATCGTGGCTGCCCGCTCACGCAGCTGCGGACTTGCACCGGATTCAAGGCCTGCGCTCTCTCCCCACTGCGTCCTGGAAGCCGGGCCCGGGAGAATCTGCATCCTGCCCCACAACCCTCTCCCGAGAGCACAAGTCCTGGCAGAGGCAGGGCCCAGGCAACCGAGGAGCCCCGAAGCGCCATAAAAGAAAATGAGGGCTGTTACCGTTTATGGGGTGTAAAGGGCTGCGGAGGGAATGACCACAACTTCGGAGGCCCGAGCGCTTTCCAGATGTGGCCGGAGGGTTCATCCTCGCTCCCCTCTTTTCTTCTCTCGCCCTGCCCCCCCCCGTGACTCCTGCAAAGTTGATCGTGTTCGGAAGCGTGAAAGAGGAACCAGGCGCGAGTGGATGGAGTGTCCCCTCACCCCCACCCCCACCCCCTTCCCGCCGCCAAGTTGGGACGCACTCTGTTGTTGTAGACAGAAGGAACTTCAAAGAATGGGCAGTGAGGGTGTGCCATAAAGACCGGGTCTGCGAACTGTCTGGAATTCGGTCCTTAATGAGTTTACAACTGTCCAGCCCCAATTAGGATATTCCACCAAAGCCCTTTCATTTGTTTGCTCTGTCTGCCGCCGATAAAGCGGTTGCGGAAACAGCTCTCTTTTATGGGCATTACCCGCTCCGCGGCGTAGATTCCAGGCCCCACGCGCCACCCCTCCCCCCGCCCGGGACTGGGTCCTCGCCCCGCCCTTGGGAGTGAGGCGTTTTGTGGACCGCAGCCGCGGTTGCCGAAGTTCAGGCTGGCCAGGGCTTCGGGGGCTGCAGTGCCAAGGTAAGGCCAGGAGATGGCAGTGTGGCTCCACCAAAGAGGTGCTTGAGCCGCCATCTCCGGCCGCTGCGACCCTGGGAAGCTCCTAAGATGTCGACTTGACGCGAGCCTTTCTAGAATGGGAGCCCCAGATTTAAGTGGACAACAGTCATATATTATTGGTGCTACTCATGCCAGGCTGGAAGCCTTCCTGGGAAGCATGCATGCGGTGGGTGCTTGCCTGACCCTCACCGCCCGCGCCTCCTAGGCCCCATCCCAAGGGCGCAGCGCTTTGGGGCTGCAGCTCCAGGCGCGGGTAGACTCCAGGGGTCACCGCCCTCAACCCAGCACAGGCTTCGGGGTAGCGAGACGCGCGGGGAACCTGGCTCATCGGCAGATGGACACAAGGACCAACGTCTACAGCCCTCGGACCTGATGAACCCACAGAGGGAAAGCAGAGGGCGCACACCGTGACCACGGGTTCCCTGGCGGCCTCGGAGGCATCGGAAACCTGCGCGGTGGTTCAGGGCCGGGTTCAGGACCCAGAAAGCCAGCACCGAAGAGAACCAAGACCCCCCGGACTCCGCCGGTTTGAATACGTGACAATAAAATTAGGCGGGTGAAAATTGGGCGTGAAGCCATCATTGGTGAATGCCTAGAGTAGATTAGCCGGGAGTTGCTTGGGAAGAGGAACCTTTTGGAACTGACCAGGAACTATTTGGTTGTTCTAAAATAAATGTGATGTTTAAAATAACAATTATAATATTATCCAAGCTCCAGAATTGGAGCGCGCGCACGTCGTGGAAACATCTTTTACTTTGGCTGCGGTATTTCCTTGATTTTAGGTGCAGAGATTACTCTGGCGACCCTGCTGAGCAGGCCAAAAGGAAGGGACCCCAATCCATGCTCAGTCTATTCCTATGCTAGGTGAGGAACATGCTTCGAAGCCTCTGCAAAGGCCACCCATAGCCCTTACAGGAGGATCAGCCACGGGTGTAGAATGGTTTCGGAGGGAAAACACAAAAGCAAACCGAATCCTTCGAAGCACCCCGGAGCCCTGTGAACATGCCGCGCGGTGCATTTATTTGGGATTGTAATAGTCTCTGCCAAGCCCACAAAATGTTTACGACCTGCATCTCCTCGCTGAACATGCTGTAAAACTGGGGACTAGGTTTTGGCTGACATCTCTCCTGGGGGTTTGCCTCACTCGCTTTTTCTCTTTCTCCTTTTTTCCTGTATATATATATATATATATATATATATATATATATACACACACACACACACACACACACACACACACATACATGTTAGTATTAGAGGTTACATCTTCATTATATTTCTGTATAAAATGCATACTATTTCACAACATCCGATTGTAAGAAGGGTTTTATAAGGTTTTTATACCCGTGGCTGTATATTGTGTATTCAAAACTGCAGATAGAAAGCTTGATTTCTGTAACTACAAATAAATGAAGTCACAAATAGGTTGCACCGCTCACAAAGGAACTGATCACAAAGGAACCAGGTAAGTGCAGGCCTCCCAGAATCTCTGAGACCAGCTCCGGCAGAGCCTCCTTGCCCTTGGCTGGCTGGCGGCTGGGAGGCTGTTTGCTCTCTTGGCTGCCTAAGAGCTGCATGCCGCAACCACTCTTCGAGCCCAGACCAGATTCTGCACCAGTCGGAGCTCATTTGCCCGCATCGGGAATGGGTCTTTCCCTGTGCCCTGGCCAGGGACCTCTCACCTGATGGGGAATGGAGGCGAGAGGCGTGGGTAGAAACATTTAGAGAAGAAAATCGCTTCCTGACTCTCAGGGCTTTTCCCTTCGGAGAGCTGGGTTTATATATTTAACTGGATTTAAATATCCAGGACTATTGTTAACAAGAAATGGGAAACACTCCGACAGTGGGGGAAAAGCTAGCTTCAAGAGTACAGTGGGAAATTATCTAAAGATAATCAATTTGGCTGATTAGAAACCAGCCTACAAGGGCCTGTTCCAGGCCCTGCATCAACAAGGATTTCCATGATTATAATTACACATAACCCAGTGTATTTGCATCTTTTTAGTCAAATAAGTAGGTAACCAATGGCTCAAGAACTCATGATTAAATAGGTTTTATTGAAAACCTCTTTTTGTTAGGCCGTTTTCGTTTTAAAATCCTTCCACAGGAGGCAGGACAGAGAGAAGCAGAGAAAGGAAAGAGAGGTTGAGATGCCTTTGAGAGTGGCTCAGTTAACTTGACTTGGGCCCAGAAGAACCTAAGCCTTGTAGGCAGCATCTGGATCCTCCTTGGCCTAAGGAGAGGAGCAGAGCTCCTGCCCGGATTGCTGGGTTGCAGCCGGGGCCAACCTGGGGCAGAGATAGGCATGTGGAGTTTGCATACAGCTCTTTCTTGAGGTGGGTGAGTTTCTTCCTGCACTCCCTGAAATCATTCCCCACCGGGCCTGTTGGATCCCCCTACCTAGGGCAGGTTCTATTTTTAAAGGAGGTATCTTTCAGCCATCCCAGCCGCCTGAGTCTAGACAGACTGTTGCGGCAGAGCCAGGTCTTTTTCTTTGCGTCTTTTTATGTCACCCGAGGAACAATTTATTGGTCTAAAGCCGTCTAATTCTGCTTCTTTGATCTCTTCTTGTTGCTTCGTCTTCCTTTAGCTAACTTAGGTTTTTATCTCTCTCTCTCAAAAGGCATTGTTATTTGGAATTTTTTTCTTCCTGGTTTATGCCCTTCATGTCCCATCTGAAATTCTGAGACTGTATCATCCTGACCCACCATAAAGGGCATCCCCGGATATTGTTCCTGTAGGTTCTCTGTACCCCCAGGCAGCCCGGGAGCCCACCTGCCCCCACCTCCCCCACCCAAGTATGAGCCCTTTACTGGGCAGAAGCTGGGGATCCTAGCTGATTTGAACTATCTTACTGCCTTTTGTGCCCCAGGACCCCCTGAGAGGGTGCTGTGAATAAGGGGGCATCCTGGACCCTCTAAAACTGATGAAGAGTGCTTTGTACACAAGGAACCAAACTCTATAATTTAGAGGAGAATTTCCGGAGCAATTCCATTGTGAGGTCGGGTTTATGGTGTGCAATCGAGCTGGGCAGTAAAAGGTGGCCAGGCTTCCAGTGCGGCCTGGGCAGTTTATGAGGCGTTTAGAGGAAGGGTTAGCCCAATCATCCTCTGCAGAACAGTGGGCAGCAGGGCTTCAGCTGATCCAACACCACAGCAGGGCAGGGAAGGTAGGAACCGTGGGTTGAGGGTCTAAATCAGAAGAAGTAAGACTACTATGCACTCAGCTTTCTGTGAGCTGGGTACTTAGAAACGTAAAGCCACTGTAGCTGGGTGGTGTGGGAGGGAAGGCTCCCGTATTTGTTTTTGTTATCTCCTAAAGAAATGGGGTCCAGGATGGGCTGCAGTCCCCAGATGCCTGGATCCCCTCTCCTGTCCAATTCAGATCTAAAGCATTTATTGCTCCCAGGCATCCAAAACCACAAGGTGGAGGTCCAAGGTTGGCTAGGGGGAAGACTGCCTGGAAAGGTGTGTGGTGGGGGTCAAGGTTCCTCCAAGCTGAAGGGAATAGAACCAGTTCTCCAGTGAGCCAGGGGGGAACCAGGGGTTGTGGGAAGGACAAAGGAGTGTTAAGCCATTTATTGGTTTGCCGGAGGCTAGCCAGGTGCTCAGGAGTGAAAGCACAGAGCCTGCAGGGCCCTGGTGTCCAGGAGGAGGGAGAAGAACCTCATGCTAATAAATCTGTTGGCAAATGAGGCTCATTAATAGATAAATATTTCACTGCTTCCTTTAGTGCGGATAAACTGTGCGCTGCCGATTAAGGAAAGGAAGCCGGGAGAGGTTGAGTTTATTCGAACCACATGGTTCCAGTTTGCGGTGGCATTCTCTCTGCAGCTGTAAGCGACGCTGCGCCTGCCGGGTGTGGATCGGAGTTTAAATCTGGCCTGTTGCCCATCGAACATGATAAAGACCTAGGAAGAATAGAACTGCCCATAGTGAAGCCCTGCCTGGGAGGCCATAGGGTGGGCTGGTGCGCAGGGTGCGGAGAACCTCCAGGGACTGGGTCAACACACAGAAGATGGACAGGGAAGATCCACAAGGTTGGTCTGGGGTTCGCTTCTAAGTATGAGGAACTGTGCTGCGCGGACATTGCCCAGAGTCCGCAGGCTCAGGCGCCTGAGTTGGCGGCCAGCCGGGTGCTCCCGCGGAGCCTCGGGGTCCTGTTCCACAGGGTGCTCCAGGCTCGCCTGGCACTGGCGGATTCGTTGGTCGAATATTTGAGCCTCTTCCCCTTCCATTCTAGGCGGCCGCGGGTCCCGCGGAGCGAGACCACCTGTGAGGGCTGCTGAGATTGGCGGAGGCGGTCATGTGGGCGGTCACGTGCTGCCGCGAGCTCCGTCCAAAAGAAAATGGGGTTTGGTGTAAATCTGGGGGTGTAATGTTATCATATATCACGCTACCTCGTAAAACCGACACTGAAAGCTGCCGGACAACAAATCACAGGTCAAAATTATGAGTTCTTCGTATTATGTGAACGCGCTTTTTAGCAAATATACGGCGGGGGCTTCTCTGTTCCAAAATGCCGAACCTACTTCTTGCTCCTTTGCGCCCAACTCTCAGAGAAGCGGCTACGGGGCGGGCGCCGGCGCCTTCGCCTCCACGGTACCGGGCTTATACAATGTCAACAGCCCCCTCTATCAGAGCCCCTTCGCATCGGGCTACGGCCTGGGCGCCGACGCCTACGGCAACCTGCCCTGCGCCTCCTACGACCAAAACATCCCCGGGCTCTGCAGTGACCTCGCCAAAGGCGCCTGCGACAAGGCAGACGAGGGCGCGCTGCACGGCCCAGCCGAGGCCAATTTCCGCATCTACCCCTGGATGAGGTCTTCAGGTAGGCGCAGCCACCAGGCGGGGCGGGCGGAAAAGTAGCCGGGAGCTCGGCGCTCGGTAGCGCGGGGCCAGAGAGAGCGGAGCCAGGCGGCTGTGTGCCGGCGGCCCGTGACTCCCGGCGGCGCTGCCTCTCTGGTTTTAATTAGAGCTGAGGCGCCATTGCGTGGAGAGCCCATAGTATTGTATGTAAATGAGGCTCATAAAACTTTTTATGGCCCAATTAATGGATTCAATCCTCGTAAATTTATTTAACTCCCTTTGCCTTGAAATTTTAACATTAAGTTTGTTCGCTATTTTCCCCGTCTCTCTCTCCTTCTCTCTCTCTCCTCTCTCTTCCTCCCTCCCTTTCTTCTTTTTCTCTCCCTCCTATTCCTTTCTGCCTGGCTTTTCTTTCTCAGAGGCCGAAAGAGCCAAGTCCTCTGGGGGCCTCTCACCCACCCCTGTGCCAGGGGCCATTTCAAGACGTGGGCCAGGAGGGAACTGGGACAGAGGGTCAGAGTGCCCTAGGAAGGTCTGGAGACAGGGGCGAGGGTTGCTCAGGAGGGTCGCCCACTTGCATAGCGAGGCTGGGGAGCGGAGGGGCTTGCCTTTGAATGGCAAAAGTGCAGCGGCTCCTACTTGCCCACACTCTATATTTACAATTTCCCTTTGTCAGGGGGAACCAGGACATTGTGGAAGCGTAGCCGCCTGGAAAGGTCGGTTGTAAAGTTGGGATTCTGTGCCTTTGCTCCTTACAGAACTGCCTACACGTCTGGCACCATAGTTGGTGCCTTCTGCTAACATTCCCTCTCCTCCCCCTGTTCCGTTCTCGGTTGAGGGGCAGAGCTGGTTTTACGGTCTGGGCAAGGAAGAAGGTGCAGGCTCTGGGATAGTAGCCTGGCTAAAGCACTGTTCTGTCCATGTTCCTGTCTGCTTGTCTTGTCCATGTGTCTGCATTTCTACTCTTAGGACCTGACAGGAAGCGAGGTCGCCAAACCTATACGCGCTACCAGACGCTGGAGCTGGAGAAGGAGTTCCACTTCAATCGCTACCTGACGCGGCGGCGCCGCATCGAGATAGCCCACGCGCTCTGCCTCACTGAGCGCCAGATCAAGATCTGGTTCCAGAACCGCCGCATGAAGTGGAAGAAAGAACATAAGGACGAGGGTCCATCCGCCACTGCAGTCCCTGAGGGTGCAGTGCCCTCCGCTGCTGCTGCAGCCGCTGCCGCGGACAAGGCCGATGAGGAGGAGGAAGATGAAGAGGAGGACGAAGAGGAGGAGGAATGAAGGGCCACACTGGGGCCCTGGCTGCACTGGACAGTCAGAAAAGCGTCTTTGAGAAACTCACTGGTTTTATTTACAAAAATGGGGAAATAAGAAGAAAATGTAAAAAATAATAATAAAAATAAAAACACCCTGACTCCAACCCGTACCCCACCCACCCCATCACCCACCCTAGTTCCCAACTTTTCTGGACTGAGTGGCCACCGAGACTAGGTCGCCTTGGGATCCCCTCTGCCTATGAGTATCCCAGTAGATACCCCAAACCCTAGGCCAGCGCTTGGCTCTGGCATGGCCAAAATACTACCTAGCACAGGCCTCCTTGAGAGGCAACCCCCAAACTACCTATGGGCCCAGCCCCAGTGGGCCTCCACTCCCAGGAAGCCCCCTTCAACACTGGCAGACACCCAGCACCACCTCCTATATCCTTAAGAATGGTGATTCTCTCAGTACTACCTACTAGCCCCAAACTACCTATTTTGTGCTGGCTGGCTTGCCTGCTACTTGGTGCCGGCCTCTCCCAGGCCAGGCCCCATCTTCTCCCAGTGGACTGCCTTTGAGGCCTCACTGAGAAGGCATGGGGGTCCAGGGACCAGGGCATTGGCTTCTATTTAAATTGAAAAATAATATATTTCTTCCAAAGCATACTATGTGCTGCAACCTAGAATCCCTCTTTCTCTGGCTTGGGCACCTCAAGTTCAGGCCCATCACCGCCCCCACTTCTGGAGGGAAGCATTCCTGAGATGGCTGCAGACCTCTGGGTTAGCTTCTGCTTCATAGAATTGCAGAGATGCTCCCAGCCTCCCTGTCCTCTTCCCTAGCCCCTGTGTCCTACTGTTCAGCCATGTCAAATATGTACACCCTGATTTTTCCTACAATAACAAATACTGTATATTTGAGGGTTTTTTTTTTCTTTTGTCATTTCTGTAGTCTTGGAGCTCATTTACAAAGGAATATCTTGACTTGGAAAGGATGTGTTAATGGGGTGACTTTGTAGCATGGTGTGTTGTCTTGAGCTAACTCTGTAGTGGCTGGGAGGCCCGATGCCCTCCCTGATGCCTTTCATCTCCTGTGTTGTCTTGTGTCCCTCTTAGCTCCAGCCTGGGGTTCAGGGAAAATATGCTTCCCAGCCCAGCTAATTGTGTTTTATGTAACAAAATAAAGATGCTTGGTGACAAAGAAACATGGACTACTTTATCCAAAAGGTTGGGGAGAAGAAGAGGTGGCTATAGATGAAGGGCAAGCCCTGGGTATGCCTGTTTGCCCAGGATGGCAGTAGGGAAGCAAAAATAGACTATCCTTGTATCCAAATGTTGGGTGTACATGTATTAGTGTATAAGTGTGTCATGTATCTTTTTATGCTTTATGTGTAGATTTGTGTGAGTATGCATGTGCCTATTTTTGCATGTTTGTTTTTCTATACATGCTGTGTATATTCTCATATAATTTCATAATTGTGTATATTTCTGCATCCACAATTGTGTGTATATCTGTGCCCATAATTGTGTGATTATTTCTGTGTCCATAATTGGGTGCATGTGTTTTTGTGTGTTCATAATTGCACATTTTCCGTGTCCATAATTGTATCTCTTTGTAGATTTTTGTCTGGTGTCTGTGTGTACAGAAGATCCCTTGAAAACGGAATCTATGACAGATTCATTATGTTCTACCAACCTCCCTAAAAAAATCCACAAATTCCATAAGAGAATTCGAAATCTTCCCTCTCCTCTAAGGATGTGGAGCGGACTCAGAAAGGGACATCATCTACCCTACAACTGATCCCCAGATTCCTCACACCCTCTGACCCAGCCCCAGGATAGGAAATGGGATTCAGGGACTCTGCCGCTGCACCCCCACTCTGTCTTTAGAAGAGGCTGAGGGTGCCCTAAGGTTCAACACGCTAGCGGAGGGGTTCGGAGAGAAGCAGGAACCGCAAAATTGGCTACGCAGCCTCGGCAGGGGCATCTCGGTGTTGGGGAAGGGGCGAAAAGCATCCTGAACTCTGCCAGCGAAGACCTCCATTCTATCTCCTGCCCGGTGGGGCCAGCTTCTTAGAGCTCTTTTAATAAAACCCGGCCCAAAATGGTCTGTAAAACCTGCGGCCCCAAGTAGGGGCCGCCTCGGTGGTAAGATGGCGCCGGTGTAAGAGCTGCCTCCTCTTAGTGATGGGGAAAGGGTCATAAATCCGTTGTTGTTTATGAAAATTTACAACTTTGCAATACAACTTTATGAGTTGTTCGGCCCTTCCATTGGCCGCTGTCGGTCATGTGGATAGGAACCGTGAACATGAACTTTTTTATAATTTCCCTTGCGAGAATAGAGCCGCATTCTTTTGCTCCGCTCCATCCTGCCTGCTTCGGAGCTCGGCCTTCCAGTCCCCGCTGGTCCGCGCTTTGTCCCGCGATGGCGAGCAAAGGGAAGCCCCAGCCAGGCCTGGCCGGGCTGCTCGCGCTGGAGGTGGGGCGCGCCCAGGTCCTGGCGCTGCAGCGGCCGCTTTGCAACTCGCAACCTGGCTAATTTCCTGCGTCCTCTGGCACCAGGAAGGAGGACAATTCGTCTCCCGGGCTGCGCAAGCGACAGCTGTCAGAGGGGCAGGAGCTTCTGGCAGCCGCCATCTGAAGGTGAGACATGTGGGAAGGAGACAGGAGCAAAGGTGGTGAGGTGCTGTGCAGGGTGAGAGAGGGAAACCAGCACGGCTTTGAAGGGGAGCAATGCAATACCCACCCTTACCCCATAGTCCCCAGTTCACACTCGCCTGCATTACCCACCATAGCCCATTGTGACACACACATACACACACTCATTCACACACACACACACACACACACACACACACACACACACACACAAACACCACCATCAGCACCACTCCGTCTTTCTCCCTTCCCTGGCTCATCATGTCAGTAAATGCCATCTTCCCATCGTGGCACCTTCCCATTGACCCCATGTTCCTGGCAGCAGTATTTGAGTCTTCTCTCGCCCTTTCTCCACTGACCCCACACTCTGTGTTTCCTGCCAGCCTCTCGGTTTGGATATTTTTGTTGTTTTTTTCATTCATGGCCCAATTAGTTCGATGGAATTCTCCAACAACAGGAGATAGTTCCCAACCCGGGAAGGTGGGAAGAGGTGAGGACAAAGTGAGTTAACCCAGAGGCATCAAAACAGTACTCTCTATTCCATATACATTGGTTTCAGAGAGAAAGGAACTTACTAGTTCAGCCAGAGTTCTCCGCAGATTGCCTGCATCCTTTCCCCGGTTTTCCGATGAGAGGTGTCTGAAGCTCTGAGAGCGGGAATAGGTGGATGGGTGGAATTCTGTGTTGAAGGAGAGGATGGGGTTAATTGTCTGGTTGTTGCTTGGTGGGACATTTCGGTGCAAAAAAAAAAAAAAAAAAAAAAAACATTGTGGTGTTAGTGTGGGTGGCAAGGGCCCGCCGCTAAGGTTGAAGGACGGATGCAAACCGAGTCTTGGCAATAACGGGAACCCCCCAACCCACCTCGGCACAAGGGTCTGGCGTCCACTAGCCCCACCTCCCACAAGCAGGGAGAGTACTGCGGACCTAGTCGGGTGGAGGTACTGAGGGTCTGCTAGCGGTGGCTTTGCCTAGCGAGATGATACGAACTGCGGCTCAGTTGGTGCGCTTCAGCCCAGATTTGCCCCGGGGAGCTCCCGGGACAGCGACAAGAATCAATCCCGAGATTCTAGGCTTTAATTCTTTTTATTTGTTTTTTTCTTTGCTGTTGTCGTTTCTCCGTTTTGAGAAGAAACCTTGGTATGCATTGGATAATTTAAAACGGAGTGTAGATGTTTGGGACRTTCGCCCGCGCGGTGGGTGCGCTTGGGGCAGATAAAGCGGCGAATTTGCATGGTGGGGCGTCCGGCTGCCTGACTGCGGCTGCCGCGGGCAGATTATTTATTGCGACCGAGTCGGGGGCTCGCTGCTGCCACGCTGTGGCCGTCGCCGGGACCGGCGCCAGCCGCAGCCCGCCTCTTACAGCCTGTCGCGACTGCTCTACCGGCCCCTCAGAGATTCCCCAGAAGGCAGTGGAGAGGGGGAAGAAGGGGGTCTGGGGGCTGTCTCCCAGGGTCTATTTGGCTGGGAAATCTTCCTGCCTCCGCCACCCCTGACAGCCGGACGCCGGAAAAGACTCGGGTCCTCCCTTCACCCTCACCCCAGCACCATGGAGACTGGTCGCACAGGCCGCCTGGCACATCATGGCTGCTTCTGTCCAAACTGCGCGTCCCAAGGCGCCCTGAGGGCGCACGCCGATTGGGGGAACACGCTGGCTTTGGGATTCTGACATTGGAAAGACCACTTGTAGTCCTGAGGCCTGCTGGCCTGGCTGGCCCTGAGGAGAATTGGCTATGGCAAGGAAGGCGGGCTGTGTCTCCAGGAGAGGGCCTGTGAGGGACAGAGGCCGCACCTGTGTGTTTTGGGTTCTGATCCTGGCTAGTGATTTGGCTGAACGGAGGTGGGCCTTCGAGGTCCCCACACTCACACCAGCAGGCCAACCTCCAGGTTGGCGGAAATGGAGGAAGTGGACGGGTAGCGCAGGGCAAGGGTGGACTGTGTGACCCTATTCGCCATCCTGCCCCCGTTGGAGGAAACTGAAAGGTAAGTCTGCTTTCTGTGTAGCAATGAGAGAGAAGAGAAATTCCTGGGACGGACATTCTCACCGTCCCAGGAGAGGCTTTATGGAGGGTCTACGGAGACTGTGAGGTTCCTATTCTTGCTTGAATGGGTCTGTCCAGTGTGCTTGCCTGCCTCCCCCTGCCCCATATATATACTCACACGTGTGTGTCTGGTCAGAGAAATAAATTCGTTGACTGCCAACATAATATGCACCAGCCTTGGGTAACATGTAGATTTTAATTTAATATATTGTCCCTTCTTAGTGCTTACAGAAGCTAGAAATATAACGTTTTCTGACTCTTAGCTGAGAAATCAAATTCTCTTATAGGCTGTGACAATTATTAGATCAAGAATCTGGGTCAAAGCATAACAATAATAGTAGTAAAAAACTACAATCTCCAACATTGTGTGGGACATGAAACAAAAGAGAATTGTAAATGTAAATATTTATCAATATTTGAAAAACGATTTTTTCATTTTAAATAATAGCTTGCTTGAAATCACTGCCATCTAATGATTTTAAGAAACAATTACAGAAATACAATATTCTTCAAACTTGACTTTTTGAGAAAATAATTTCCTTTTTACGTTTTGATTCCTGAGTTTTCATTTTCACCTATTAGATCATTCCCCTGAAGAAATGTGTAGGAAACGACAAATTTTGTCTAAGAATGAGCCTTCTTTCTATGTAAAGGAAAAACTTTCCCCAGTGAGTTTGATCAAGACACTGGCACAAGGCTTCCTGGCAACCTTGGGCTTTGTGTAAGCTGACCTTAGGCCAGTCCTTTTCTGATTTTTTTTCTCCCTTTGGGCAAAAGGAAGTCAAGGAAAAAATTGAAAAGTAAGGAAGGGATTAAGAAAGTCGTTCACAGATTCCTATGGGAGCATTGCCACTTGCCACTCCCCCCGCTCAGTCCTGAACCCCATTAGCCTGTGTTGGCCAGAGTTTTATATCTGACAAACAGCCTTCTGAAATCAAACCAAATCACGTCAATACTCTTTCTTCAACCTCCACAGAATTGAGGATTTTTAAAGCTAATTCAAGGGATTTTACAAGCCTAACAAACACAGTCTTAAAAATGCCATTGGACCGATATCACATTTTGCAAAATGAGGTTGATCCCTGTGCTGTAAAAGGCAACTATCTTGAATGTACACCTCTCAAGCAAAAGAGAGTAGCCCAGAACTGGTTTTTCATGTCCTATCTGGGAACTGCCAGACTTGGGACAGCGGTAAAAGCAATTCAGGATTTCTGGAGCCCTTGAGACAACTATTCTGGGTTCTGGAGCTACTGCTTGTGGCAGCTCCCTGAGTAGTCTCAGGAAGGACAGGAAAGAGGGTACAACCCACACAGTGTGAGCTACTGGGGCTCCTGAAACCAAGCCCATTAATTATCCCCTGTCCTTAGGCCCCACCGGGTTGTTCTCTCTGCCCTGCTTGGCCAAGGGCCCTGCATCCCCTGTGCCTCTGGAATGAAGAGGGAGCAGGTCTGCATCTGGATTTGTATCTGTCTCAGCTCTGAGCTGTACAAAGGTGGAGAGTCCCCCATGCTGGGTGAGGGGAGCAGGTCCCATCTCTGGATTCAGATCTCAGTCTCACAGCTGTTCTTCTATGGTCTTTTCTTGTTGAGACAGTGGTTTCTGGTCTCTTCATTGCTGGGGTTCAAAGACAGGATGGGAATGCGCAGTTGCTGGCGGTGCTTGCTTTGAGACCAAGAAGGCAAAGGCCATTGCAGAAGAGCCCATCAGTGCTCAAGACGTGTTGTATGTGGGAGGAAGAGGCAGCAGGAAGAGCTTAAGTTTGGCCTTGTGCTGGGTAGTTGTGAAGTGAGCTTTCAGCCTTTGGCTGCAAGGCCCAGACCTCTGGTAAGAGTGAGAAGGAGAGAATAAGGGGCTGTATCGATTTCTGAGGTACAGGAGTGAAGAGCAGACAGTGAAAGCCTGGCTTCTAAGAGTCCCTTGTCTAGCTCAAGAACCCACATCCACAGTAGGGGAGCGCAGTGGGAGGGGCAACTCTGGGCCGTGCCTGGAGTGCAGGCCAGCAGGGAGCAAAGCCGTCCGTGTGGGTTGTCAGGTTTCCTGTTTGGAGGAAAACCCCAGCAAAATCCAACCAGGCAAAATGAGGAGGAGGAAAGAGCGAGCCTGGCTGGGCCTTCCCGCGGCCTGGACGCTGGTTCCCCCTACCCGGGTCTGATCTGTACATCCCTGCCCCGGCCGTGCCCGCCGCTGACGTTCGGGAAAAGGAGCTGGGCCGGCTGGCTGTGCGCGCCCATTAATCTGCCGGGCGGGCGGGCTGGGGGCTGTTTGTAACTTTGCTGCCTCGGTCGCCGCGGTCCCCGGGGAGCGGGCTCCGGCGCTCTCTCCCATTGGCCGCCGCCGCGTCAGCTGGTGCGATTTGCTGCTGTCGCTTTTGGCGTTCGGCCATCCAGAAACAAACCAGTTCGATGACTACTAATAGTTATAGCCAGATGTACTAATACACAACAAATCACAGTCCTGCAGAGGGGCGCGCAAATGAGTTCCTATTTTGTGAATCCCACTTTCCCCGGGAGCTTGCCCAGCGGCCAGGACTCCTTCTTGGGCCAGCTGCCCCTCTACCCAGCCGGCTATGACGCGCTGAGGCCCTTCCCGGCCTCGTATGGGGCGTCGAGTCTCCCGGACAAGACATACACCTCACCTTGTTTCTACCAACAGTCCAACTCGGTCCTGGCCTGCAACCGGGCATCCTACGAGTACGGGGCCTCGTGTTTCTATTCTGATAAAGACCTCAGTGGCGCCTCGCCCTCGGGCAGTGGCAAGCAGAGGGGCCCCGGGGACTACCTGCACTTTTCTCCCGAGCAGCAGTACAAACCCGACAGCAGCAGCGTGCAGGGCAAAGCCCTCCATGACGAAGGCACCGACCGGAAGTACACGAGTCCTGTTTACCCTTGGATGCAGCGGATGAACTCCTGCGCTGGTAAGGCTTTTCCCTGCAACTCCCCCCACCCAAGACAGTGGAGGGAGAGGGGAAAGGAGACAGGGAAAGGAAGAAGGAGAAAGTGCCAGAGAAAGTAGGAAGAGGAATTAGAGAGAGTGGAGGAAAGAACGAACAAAGTTTCTTTGGCTTTTTAAAAATCGATTTTTAAAAAGAAGAAAACCATTCCCAATGGAGCCATCAGGCTGATGCAAAGGAAAGCAAAGGCAGGGTCCTTGTAAGGTGATACTTTAGGGGAGGGTGGGGGGAAATCACTACCAGGCTGTGTGAAAACCTTGACAGGGGCAAACTTGAGGGAAGGTGGCAACCAGAAAAGGAAGCTGGTTGGGAGAGCCTGCCCCTGCTACACCTTGGTAGCATCCTAGTCTGGTTCCCAAGAAGACTGGGCCTCCTTCGGACATTACTGATAACTTCTTTCACCTCTCAATTCCCTCTCCTTTCTGCCCTTCAGAAACCCAGACAGAGAGGGCCCCCCATTTGACCTCTTCCAGTGTCTCCTCAAAGCCTTTAAGGGCCACATTCCCAGCCTCAGGGTCTCCCTCTCCCTAGCTCTCTCTCTCCCCCTCCCTCCCCTCCTCCCCCTTCCACTCAACTGCTCACTCTTAGCCAACTTCTGCCTCCTTCTGAGCCTTACACTGGCTTGGGGGGGATCCTCCCACCCTTGGGAACCTTTGGCAGCAGAACAGACAGCCCAACACATCCCTATTGCTAGAAACTCCAGCTCACCTATAGTGCCATCTTTTCGGCCCTGGTTTTCAAAGACTCCACCGGGAGTTTCTCCCCCCTTGGAGGAAGACAGAACCTAATGTGGATTTTAAAACTTAGAGTTTTGCTGTAAAAGTCACTTTTCCCCAAGTGGATCTCTGTATTTTTCAGATGGGTCATATAATTTGGGAGAATTTGCAGAGATTTATCAAGGCTGACCATATGTAACTTTCAAAAAAAAAAATGTGTTGAGTCTTGACATTGGTGGCCTCAGTAGCGTCCTTTCAGAGACCAATGTGTGAATTCAGTGTCTATACTGCTCACAGGGTTCCAGTCCCACTCACCCCAAGCACACATACTACTCCTCACACATACAAAAATGACTCTGGTGTTCCAAATTAAGAATGTTATTCTATTATTTCCCTTGTAATTGTTTTCTTACAAGCCCCAAATTTCAAAAACTGTAACTTCCCACTCCAAGTCGTTTAAGGTGAAAAACACCTCGCTTGCTATGAAATATCTTCTCCATTCAGCCCGCTTTCATCCCCAGATGTAGTGGGAGAGGCTAGAGTGGAGGCGGGGTGGTTTCCAGCCCAGAGGCCCCTGGCGGGAGGCAAGGAACTGACTGGTTTGGCTATCGGGACCTCGCTTACCGGCACCCGGCCATTTCTGCTTGCAGGTGCGGTCTACGGGAGCCACGGGCGCCGAGGCCGCCAGACCTACACGCGCTACCAGACGCTGGAGCTGGAGAAGGAGTTCCACTTCAACCGCTACCTGACGCGGCGCCGCCGCATTGAGATCGCCAACGCGCTCTGCCTCACTGAGCGCCAGATCAAGATCTGGTTCCAGAACCGCCGTATGAAGTGGAAAAAGGAAAATAAACTCATCAATTCCACACAGCCCAGCGGGGAGGACTCTGAGGCAAAGGCGGGCGAGTAGACGCCTGGGCAGAGACCAGGCCAGCGCTAGAACCTCCYTCAGCTTTGCCCCTTTGCCCTTGCCTGCTCCCTAAACTTTTCTCCCCGCCTGCTCCCATCCAGGGGCTTCCACAGCTTTGGGGGGTGCCAGGAGCTTTGCAAGCCCTGAGCGTTTATTTATTACAAAAACCAAGAAACCCACACACGGCAAATCCCAGCGGTCGAGCGGGGAGCACTGTACACACACAGGCCTGTTCCCCAAGGCTACCCAAGACGGCTCCGGGGTCCCAGGGTGCACTCAGAATTCGTCTAGGCCCCTGTTAGCATCTCTGTGCTCTCTGAGCTCAGAATTCGGGGTGGCCAGAAAGAAAGAGCCCCAGGCTGTGCCCGGTTTGGTGTTTGGGCATCTTTGCCGGCTGCCCCTCACCATTAATTCCTGACGGGTATCACCAAGTCATCTCTGGCCACTAGAAAGACAGGGCCTAAGGGCTGGGGCCCCAGCTTTTTGGCGGCTTATGAGGCTGCCCCCAAACAGGAAGAAGCTCCAGGAACAAAAGGGCCACTACAGAGTCCAGTCTCTCAGGCCGGCGCACAACCGTCAGTGGAAAAGCAGCAGCCTCAGTCGTGAACAGCCAACCTGGGAGCCGGTGGAACATTACAGCCCTGGAAGCAACTGGACTCCCACAGGCTCCCACTCCAGATTCCAGATTCTTGCCTCCGACAGCGCTGGCGCCGCCACCAAGCGGCTTTCAGAACACAACAAGGGGGCCCAGGGCCATGGGAGCAAGAAGAGTCCTGGCTTCCAAACGTGCCAGGGGCGCCTCGGATGCTGGGCCTCCAGTGGGGAGACTCCCCTCGCCTCTTAGTGGTATTTGTGATTTACTTTCGTCTTTCAAAGCCCAGAAAAATAACTGCGGAGATACTAGGCACCGCTGCGAAATGATTCCATTAACTTCCTCATTTCATTCCTGGAGGTCTAAGCAAGACCCCAATAACTCGACCCGCGGACCCGTAGGCCCCAAGCAGCCTCTGTGGTTGAGGGAAGCGTGGACCCATTCGCTGGGTTCACCGAGAACCCTCCGACTTGGGCCCGGGCTAGCTCGAGGAAGGCAACCCGGTGGTGAAGATTCTCCAGGCTGGATACGTAAGCAAATCAAATAGGAAACTAATGACACGAAAACCATATTTACAAGAAAGAAAAAATCGACTCTAGTTATAAAAGTGTATGGAATTTGACCTTGCCTCGAAGAAACACTACACAAAAGCTATCTTTAATAGACGCCTGTCATTTAAGAGCGGCAGGGACACTGTCCCTCATGCGCTCGCAAAAACAGAGCCGTAATTGTAGCTGCTGCTGCGGGCAGGATTTATTTCTTCAATTGGCTAAATGGCCTCCTCCCCTTCCCCGAAGGTGATATCTGTATTTCAAAATTCAGAGCTGCCGGCAGGACGGGTGGAACCGACCCCAACCTCGACACAAAAATAAGAGGGGATGCAAAGCCGGGAAATAAAGTTGTTGTAAATAAATTCCAAGTCACCACCTCCCCCTAATCCTCTGCATCCTCGCCGGGCGCGCGATCGGCAGCTGACGGCCTCACAATTGGTACATCCTAATGGAACTGCGAGGGAAATRCAATAATTTTGCCATAATGGGCTGTAACCTCAATTCGACCCCGGCCCTTGCAGCCCCGGGTCGGAAGCGGAGCGATGCGCCCTGCCTCCAGCGGGTGGCGCTCGAGTCCGACTGAACGGCGGCAGCTGGTGGCGGGCACGCGCCCGAGGGGCGCGCGCCACCCCTCTCGCCTCCACCCAACTCCCCCATTAGTGCGCGAGTTTACCTCTAGAGGTCATCAGGCAGGATTTACGACTGGACAACAAAAGCACGTGATTCGAAGTCGTACCCCATATTTGGGTGCCTACGTAGGAGGGAACCAAGTACATGTCCCAGTCATTTCCATAATTCATCATAAATTGTGCAAGGGTGCTATAGACGCACAAACGACCGCGAGCCACAAATCAAGCACACATATCAAAAAACAAATGAGCTCTTATTTTGTAAACTCATTTTGCGGTCGCTATCCAAATGGCCCGGACTACCAGTTGCATAATTATGGAGATCATAGTTCCGTGAGCGAGCAATTCAGGGACTCGGCGAGCATGCACTCCGGCAGGTACGGCTACGGCTACAATGGCATGGATCTCAGCGTCGGCCGCTCGGGCTCTGGCCACTTTGGCTCCGGAGAGCGCGCCCGCAGCTACGCGGCCGGCGCCAGCGCGGCGCCCGCCGAGCCCAGGTACAGCCAGCCGGCCACGTCCACGCACTCGCCTCCGCCCGACCCGCTGCCCTGCTCCGCCGTGGCCCCCTCTCCAGGCAGCGACAGCCACCACGGCGGGAAAAACTCCCTGGGCAACTCCAGCGGCGCCTCGGCCAACGCCGGCAGCACCCACATCAGCAGCAGAGAGGGGGTTGGCACGGCGTCCGGAGCCGAGGAGGACGCCCCCGCCAGCAGCGAGCAGGCGAGCGCGCAGAGCGAGCCGAGCCCGGCGCCGCCCGCTCAACCCCAGATCTACCCCTGGATGCGCAAGCTGCACATAAGTCATGGTAAAGCCAGCCCTTTTCTAAATCCATGCGTCCGCGGGGGCGCGGCTCTTGGTCCCCCTCTCTCCTTGCCGCTCTCTCTGGTTCTTTCCTAGTCTTGCCTTTCCCAGCCCTCCGGAGCTTCTCCCTGCCATTCTTCCCCTGCCTTCATCCTTCTTCCTCCTCTTTTCAGCAGCACACTGTGCTCGCAAATAGTAAGGGAATGAGCTGGTGGGCAGGCAAGTTTAAACGTTGAAAGTGGGAGAAAGGGGGAAAAAATCCATCTCAAACCCCAGCGCCTCTGAATGCGCTGCGGGGTCTGGAGAGCCGAGCAGATAGCAGAGAGGTAGAGGATGGCAGTGGGGGCCGTGAATCGGGCTTGTCAGGGCGGATAATTTATGAGGAGGGCTACCCTGGGAAAACAGCCTTACTAATTACAGCCCCCCAAAAAGGATTGGGGGGGAATAATCGAGGCGAGGGCCGGCAGGATTCTGAAGTTTGGGGGTAAGAGGGAGAGAGGAGGAAAGGAAGAAAAAGAAAGCAGGCGCCCCCAGCATACAGGATGGAACAGGAGGCGGCTCTCGGGGCTGGAACTTTAAGGGAGGGTGACCTGGAGGCCACTTAGGCACTCAGAATAGGGCCGTACTTCGGCTGGTTTCCGAGGAGTGGGCAGCCTATGAGGGCTGTGCCCCCCAATCAGGGGTGTCCAGGGCAGGGCCAGAGGGCAGAAAAGGGGCGAGGGAAAGCCCGGCGGTCCTTCGGGACCCGGTTCCAGCCTATGATGGGCCGATTGTTCCCAGAGTTCAAATCGTATTGTTTCTCTCTAGAAAGGAAGAGGGAAGGAAATTCGGGAGGGGAGGGTGGACAGGCAGAGAGGGAGGACTTGTTGAGTCTTTTGCCCAGGTTCCCTGCTCAGGACCCTGGCTTGTCAAGCTGGTGGACTTTGGAAGCCAAGGACTGAGGAGTTGGTGGCTAAACCGCTGACTTTTCTGTTGCAGACAACATAGGCGGCCCGGAAGGCAAAAGGGCCCGGACGGCCTACACGCGCTACCAGACTCTGGAGCTGGAGAAGGAGTTCCACTTCAACCGATACCTGACCCGCCGAAGAAGGATTGAAATAGCACATGCTCTTTGCCTCTCCGAGAGACAAATTAAAATCTGGTTCCAAAACCGGAGAATGAAGTGGAAAAAAGATAATAAGCTGAAAAGCATGAGCATGGCGGCGGCGGGAGGGGCCTTCCGCCCCTGAGTATTTGAGCGTTAAAAGTACTGAGCAGTATTAGCGGATCCCGCATAGTGTCAGTACTAAGGTGACTTTCTGAAACTCCCTTGTGTTCCTTCTGTGAAGAAGCCCTGTTCTCGTTGCCCTAATTCATCTTTTAATCATGAGCCTGTTTATTGCCATTATAGCGCCTGTATAAGTAGATCTGCTTTCTGTTCATCTCTTTGTCCTGAATGGCTTTGTCTTGAAAAAAATAGATGTTTTAACTTATTTATATGAAGCAAGCTGTGTTACTTGAAGTAACTATAACAAAAAAAGAAAAGAGAAAAAAACACACAAAAAAGTCCCCCTTCGACCTCGTTTAGTGCCAATGTTGTGTGTTGCACTCGAGTTGTTTAACTGTGCATGTGCGTGGAAGTGTTCCTGTCTCAATAGCTCCAAGCTGTTAAAGATATTTTTATTCAAACTACCTATATTCCTGTGTAATTAATGCTGTTGTAGAGGTGACTTGATGAGACACAACTTAACTTGTTCGACGTGTAGTGACTAGTGACTCTGTGACGAAAACTGTGACTCCAAGCGGTGTGTCCCTGCGTGCCTTTGTAGGACCCTTTGCACGAACTCTGGAAGTGGCTCTTATAAGCTCAGCTTCAGTGATGTATGTTTTTGTGAACAAAGTTACAAATATTGTCCAAGTCTGGCTGTTTAAGCAAACTGTGATCAGCTATTTTTTTTTTTTTTGGTATTTGTTTTTAAGGAAAAAATACTGACTGGAAACAAAAAAATAAACTTTCTATTGTAAGTTCTCTTGGTCTGGTTTGTGCCAAAACAGTGAGCGGCTCTTTCTGCTTTTCTGTCTGTCCAGTCCTGGAAGTTGGTGAGCCTGAGGCCACCTGAGCAGCCTGCCTGTGCATGGAGGCCTCAGACCATCCTAACCAGCTACCTCCCTAACTTTGATCCATCAGAAAGTTCAGGGCAGAAAGTGGGAAAAGCAAAGCTGTTCCAAAGTCCACTATGCCCATTTCTGAGGAAAACAAGTTAACTTGCTGGGTACAAAAAAGAGAAAAAGGGAGAGAAAGAAGGAGAAAAATCCAAGGGCTTTGTTAGCTGCCCTTGGGGCCCACATAGACCCTGCCTCTTTCCTAAGGCTGTCTTAGGCCTCCACTTGCTGAAGAGACTGCTATGCCAGGTTATGGACCCCAAACCCCCTGCCCCTAACCCATCCCAGCACCCCTTCCCCACTCCTCACCCTGAACCCAGTTGACTTCTTTTGCTACAATTAATTTGCTACAAATGGAAGGTACTTACCCCATCCTAGCTTGATTGGGAAACTCCTCAGAGCGGCTAAAGCCCAACTAGAGATTTGCACATTTACCGACTGCTTACACTGATGCCGTCTTTCCTTTTAAAAGTTATAAAACAGTAAACTTTATAAGCCCCAGTTCCGGCTATATGACATTTGGGTGCCAAATGAATAGGGTTTTGTCTATGAATTAGATCGTAAAATCATCCATAGCACAGACAGATCGGCTCACTGGCTATAAAACGTCACGTGGGGCCATTAAAGTAAGTTTTATGGTTTTGGGGAGTTGACATCCAACATTATATACCACATAACATATAATCTCACTGACGCTGGACTCCATTTGACTCTTTTGCAGGCTACGTGTGCCTCCTGGTCATTCAAATTGTCAATTTTAGGTCCAGAAGTGTCCAAACTACAACTTCTCAAAACTCTGAAAAATGGCTCCCTCCGAGTTAAGGTAAGGTAAGCTTGCTTCCTGAGCTCTTTCAAGTTTATTTGTGCTCTGAAAACTTTCTCTCTCTCCCTCCCCCCCTCCTCTCCGAGGTTGCCTCTGAATCCAAAAAGGGACAGCAAAGTTTTCCTCTGCTCAAATTAGCAGAGCCAAGAAACCAGCTTTGCGGAGGCAGCCCAGTGAACAGCGCCTGTGGCCCTGCCGCATCCCCAGGCCTAACTTTAATTGCTGCACAACCGCGGATGTTAATGACTTCCGCTGCTCCCGSCGGCGTGCAAAAAGATGATTTTTGTGTGGGAATAGGCCTGCGTGTGGAGTCTTGGCAGGCCCGCTCCCCATTCCGCGCCTGGCCTGTTCCGGGCTCTTTGGGGGTCGAGGAGCCCTGGGGTGGGGGCTGGGAGACAGTGGGGCGCCGGCTGCGGGCGCCAAGGGCTGCGTTGAGCTCCGGAGTTTGAAAGAAAGGCCCCGGCAGGGCCGAGGCGGACTCTGGCGGGATTCCTTATGGGGCTGTGGCAATATGTCTTCGCGGGCCAGGGTCATTTGGCAGGACTGAATTGAGGCGGCGGCCTTCGGGGCCGGGTTTCAGGCTGGCGGGCGAGAGCAGGAGGGCGTTTGAGGCCCGCGTGGCGCAGGCTGCACCTCCAGGCTGGGCCCCTGGTTGCGAGGCCGAGCCCAGGCTGCTAAAGCCCACTGGACGCTGGGGGACCCTAGGTCCCCACCTGGGGGATGGCTCAGCACCCCCTCCCCCGCCCCAGGGACCAGGCCCTGAACCTTGTTTGCCTGCACGTTCTTTTTATTTCTCTGGGACTGTTCTCACCCGCCTGTGAGTCTGAAGCAATAAACTTTATGGCCGGATTTAACTTTAGTCTTTGAATCCCCAGGCTAATTGAAAGGGGTTAAAAACGCTTTCTTTTCTTCCGCCTTGCCCGTTCTCCCGCTCTTCTTTCCGTTTCCTCTCCTTCTTTGTAGAATTAAAACACAGGACCCTCAAAAGGCAAATTAGGCATTCCCCTAGATAACACTGAAGATTAGAGCAATTTACTCCCCCTCAGCATACAGACAAATTCTTTTTTTCCAAACTGTGCCCTAAAGTTTGGGGGGAAATCGAGGTGTCTTCAGTGCTCAACTTAAAAGTCCCTAGAGCCATTAGGTTGTTTTTCCTGACACATCATAAAGGGTAGTTTAGGAAAGAAATTGGTAGTTTGTCAGTAGGAGATTTCCGCCTCTCTTTTGTTAGTTGCTCTTTCTGTTTGATCCCAGGAAATTTACATAATCTGTGATTTCCAAAACAGTCTCCAAAATTGCACCAATGGGTGAAGTAAGGTGAAATGAATTTTTCCCGGGTACAATTCCATCTTGGTCCCAGCTACCCCTTCTGGCCCCAGCCCCCTACATTCTTCAATGGCACAACTAAGCCAAGTGACTGGGGACATAGAGGCCTGTCTTGGTGTCTTTTTCTGGTGTCTTTTTTTGGTGGGCACCCAAAAGGGACCTAGAAGATTTCCCCCAATCCTGTCTGAGGAGTTAAGCCAAATTCTCTAACTGCATTGAGAAATGAAACAAAAAAACAGGATCTGATTTTCTCTCAGGAGCTGGGCAGCTTTCCTGCAAGTGCTTATTGGTAGAGATATTAACTAAATAGTTAAAGAGAAAAATTTTGAGGCATAGATTTGGAATTTTGACAAACTTTATTGCACAGGTCACCTGTACTCAAAGGAAATCCAACAGTTGTCCCCAGAGTTAGAGATACCAAAAGCAAAACCTTGAAAGTTTGTTTTGTTTTGCAAAATTAGAGCCCTCCTACCTAACTCCTACTTTTCATGAATAGTGGCAAGATAAAGAATTCCTGAAGTCATTTTGTGTAACCCATTAAAGTGATATGGATACTACAGCACTAACATATGTGTCCAAATCTTAAGTGGAGACCGGAATAAGAATTCTATGTAGGGTCTGAGAATTCTGGATCCTTTCTTTTGCTACTATGGCTGTTTTTCTTTATTGGCAAAATATTGGGTGGTGGTTCTATTTTGGTTACTTATTTGGTAATCTTGCTTGAGTGATTCCTTGGTGACTGAAATTAGAAGCAGAAGAGTCACAGGGATCCTGGCAGGTTTGTCGGAGAAACTTGCATAAAGAAATTATCTTTACCACGTTGGTGGCATACCCCAACTTGGGGTGAGAGGTTGAAAGAAAGACCGTTGGAGTCATATCCAGCACCATACAACAAAGAGAATCTTTCTGGTTAATTTTTTAAATTACAGGCTATAAATACTGTCAGCTGTCCATTTCTATTTTAATCTTCACAAAACTTGAGTAGAATTTAAGAGAGCAGGTTGACCCACATGGAGTAAAATGGCTTTTTAAGAAATACAATATCCAGTCGGACCTATGTAAGTGTTATTAGAGGGATTTTTTTCTTTCTTCCTAATTTCATAGCAAGCTGGCTAAAAAGGATGACTGGTTATCTACTCATTTTGTAGACAAGTTATTTCTTTTTGTGATTATTTTTTGGGGGGGGTGTTTTTGCAAAGGAACTTACTTAGGGAAAAAAAAATCTCTGTCACTGAAGACATCCAGCCTCAGCCGGTGGCAAAAGTATGTCTATGCTCCTCTCATCTTGTAAAGGGAAAAGGCGGCAGGAATGTGCAGGGGCTCATTTGTTTCCACAAACCTGAGAGAAAATATTTCCTGACCTATAAATATATTAGGAAGCTTCTGGTCACACTTACTTAGGGGTTTGTTAGGGTTTGCATGGTCTATTTTCACAACATTATGCCAAGAGTCCTTTTCTCCTGTGTTTTCCCCTGCTTCATTGCTGGTGGCTCTGCAAGGAGAGTGTCTTAGAATTTTCTACCAGAAACAGTAATGTTCATTTGTTGAGCTTCAGAGAGGATTATGCCCAAACAGCCACATCCTAAAAGATGGGCTGATAAGAGGAAGACTGTCATTTTAGCTTGAAAGATGCCCTTAGGGTCTCCCTGCCTTGGCTGGGGGTCTATCCATGGCTTGCCCACCATGGAGAGGGCAGAGCATTGTGGGTTCCATCCCTTTGGCTTCTAAGAAGGGRTTTCCTTGGAGTCAATGACAAAACTATTAATGGGGCTACTAGGCATGGGCTGAGGGGGTCAGCCTAGGCTCCCACCCACATAGGGGAGGGATCCATAATTCTAGCCATTCTAAGCCCCAGAACTAAAAGATCAGCCCAGGTTTGTTTTGTTTGGTATTTTTTCACAAAGAAATTTGTCCTTCTCCCACCAGATCCTTTCCCCACAAATGGGTCTTTTTAATAATAATATTTGTTATGAAGGTTATTAGGTAATTATCGCAATTTTGTGAAGCAGCCCTTGCTGGAGGTGAAGTCTGTCATCGCCTAACAAATGACGCCCGCGCAGTTCACTGCCGGGTTAAGTAAATGCAGAGAAGATAAATCTGCACACCCTAGGAATCGCCAGCAGAGCACGCTTTAGTACAAGTTCACAGTCAACTTGCCCGCCTGGGCTAGCTCTCCCAAACAATTAGGGCTGCATCTTTATTTTTAAATAAAGAAAAAAATGTTCCCATTTCCCATTGATAGTTCCCCCCATCTTCGCTTTCATTTTTTGAAAAAATTTTAAGTACCCAAATTTACCTTATTACTGAAATCATGAATGATTTCAAGTTAATCTAGTTCCTATGTAAGTGCTGACAAAAAAATAAGTAGCAGACTAATTTGACAGGAAATACAGTCAAAAACACACAGAAATATCCAGTTCACCCTCCAGTTCCAAAAGGCAGTGGCAGAAGCACAGTATCCCAAGATCCTCAATCCAGGGGGTTGGGGTGGGGGAGCTTCTCCCTGAAAGAAGAAGCTCAGCTTTGTGTATCTTTGTGGTTAGTGTGCTACAACTGCAGGTCAAAAAGTTGAGGGTCAAAAGTTTACATTGTGTAGCACTCTTAGTCATCTGCGCAGACAGAGTTTGATGTCAATGTTAGAGCTGCGATCTTGACTATCAGCACAAAAGATAAAATGGCTCGGAGTGACGCGTGTATCACAGTATGGACTCCAGGTGAACCCTAGTGGTTGAATGACCTCAATTACGGAGGAAAGGATAGAAAATTCCTCTTTTCAAGAGTAATACATGCTGTATTTCATGTTGAATTATTGCTTCCATTCTGAGGGAATAGCAGCAGGTAAATAGGCATAGATTTCTGAAACACCAACACCTTAGATGTTGGAGAGCAGGAGTGGTTTGTAGGTTTGTCAGCAAGAAAAACATTCAAAAACTCATCAGTGTACCTTTAAGAAACAATGTAGCAACTTTCCCATGTTCCATTGTACCCACAAAGGCAAGAGAACTGAACAGGAAACCTCTTTTATTTGATAAAGTTGATTTTGATTGGCTAGGTTTTGTTTTTTTTAAGTACCTATAATGACCTCAAAAGTGTGGAGAGAAAGGGCAAACACAGGCACTTCATGCAAAATGTATCCTTTGCAATTTTCAAACATAGAAAACACTTTTTCTGAAACTAAATGCAAAGTTCTGAGAGCTTGAAAGAGGAGGGAAAGACATGGAAACACTCTAGAAAGAGACAGGATTCCTACCACCACCACCACCAGGGAGAAAACATTCATGTTGTTGAAGAATTTTTTGTTATATTTATTATTAACCCACAACTGAATGTAGACAAATGCTACGACACAATTGAATAACTAGAGAATGCAAGAAGGTGGAATCCACAAATGCCAGGCCACACCATAAGATTTCTGTTCTCCAGAATATACTTTTGAAAATTACCTGTGGAAATGGGTGGGGTGGTGGGTAAGGAGTGGGGAAAACAAGCTAAGCAGGAAGAGTGGGCAAGTAGAAAAGAAAGGGAATAGTGTACTATGGAAGCAGGCTGGAACCATAGCTCCTGTGTGAGTTGCAACTGAATAACTAAACAATATTTTCTTTTTCATGCATTAAGTTGGTTTTAAGTGTTGATGCTGTTAGAATCTATTTCCTGGGGGACGTGGTTTCCTTTTC